CGTATTCCATTGGTCATATGGCTAGTGATGTTGTTATCCGTAGGTTCTTTTTCGTAGTAATAACTTCTCCCTTCTCTTTTCGACAGTCTGTGCCACGTCTTTGGATAAGTGCTTCAACTGGAAATAGAGGCTTAGTTCAGACAATAAACTGAGTTGTTATTTTACAAGGCAGTGGGGGACTAGCCTAACCCGAAAGAGAAGCGAGTAGAACATAGGAGTCTTATTCCTAATACGAATGTGCACATCAGCTGCGTTTTTGTTCATCTTAATATATAAAGGTATTCCGGTCGTACTGAATAATGCGCTAGTGGCCACGAACAACTGCTGGGCGATCAGGGTGCGCGGCATTGAAGGTCTCCTCATAATGCAATTTCTCATAGTAGGGAGACCCGCTGCTCTTCTTTGAACTGCTTTACCTTGATTTTCCTAGTTGAACCTCAAGAAAGTGATGTTCAGCTGTTGTAGCCCGCACCATCATTGCGACACTGGGGCTTGACAGAGTCAACAGTTGACGCCAGGCATACTGAAAAAACGACAGACGATTTGCGCTAAAACAGATGTGGTGCTGCATATAAGCCTTTTGCTCCCCTGAAGACCAGATGGAATAAAACCGACGGATGTACTTTCAGAAGTTTGCTGGAGCATGACAATGGACATAACAATGGCTACCTGTGCCAGTTAATCGCCTGCCACCAGGTGTCGCCGTGATCCGTCGGTTTCCTCAAATCAATGTAAAATGGCACTTTTTTAGGATCACACTATGCAGGTGGTACCAGTGAAAGCAAGAAAGCCCTTCGCCGCCAAGTTATGTAGTAGCAGACACGAACCAAACGGTTATTTGCACAGAGCTTCTGAAAAGTGAACATTCCTAAGCGTTCTCTTAGACTTTCTTGGAAGTTTTTTTTTACTGTTAGACAATTATGAACGAACACTTCGAAGTGATTCCATAATTCCCGTAGTAACCTTCATCTTCCGTCAGATAGGGGGTCGGTGACTGGACACTGGACAATAGACTACTTGCATGCTTCACCAGCGGTGTGCACCGTTACACCAGGAGCCGCCTTAATATGAGCAACGGAGAACCTGTGATATTCCACTAAGCATACGGCCAATGATTCTGTATGTCGGATAACAGTGTATGGCAGGGGTTACTTAGAAACTGGAACAAAACTATCTCAGTTCCAGGTGGTCACTTTAAGCATGTGGCCTGGTAAGTATTTCGGATCCACAAAGTCAGTCGTATTAAGGTGCGTGAATCCACATTTTGCGCAAGTCTACATTGTGAAAGCTCCATTGAGGAATTGATCGCCATCCATTCGAAAGACTCGTTTGTTTTGCAGCACTGCAACGCATCCCATTTCAGGAATTATTACTCCTGCCTGAATAGCTGTTTCGTAGATTGCTGGGTCTTCTTGTGGTCTTACCTATTAGCAGGATTTCGGATGTTCTCGATGTTTTAACCCGTTATTGAGCTGACAAGTTCCTAGATGTGAGCTTCTATTTTACCTCCATCCAACGGTTAGAGCGATTTCAACCTTTCGATATTACCACCTTCTCTGTTCGCTATTAACCGATTTTCGTTTCTCACTGTTTTTATGATCTTTTTAGGACCTCCGACCTACTGGGCGTGATTACACAAATATCAACCGTGCTGCGGATGATGTCGGAAATCTGGCCTCCGTACGTGCTGCAGCAGTTGGTATATATCCTCCCAATACATCTCAACCCGTGCCGATCGGCATCTCTGCTGGCAGCCCAACCTCTGCTTCAGAGGCACAAAATGCCACACCAAATCCCACTTGTTCTCCCAATTCAGGTGCTTCACCAACAAACTTCACGACATCTTCTTCACCTCCGAAAACCCTATCATCTTCAGTCGGCTCCCGAAACTCGGGATGCCTCCTTCATGGCACCGGACAGCGAAAACATGGCTCACGGCATCATTCCATGACCCATAACTTGGATCAGTGTTCCTGTGGTCGATCACAGTCGAATGCCTCCAACACTCCTAATGCTTCCAATACGTCATTGTCTGCTGCCAGCGGGCGTCACTCCACCCCAGTGGTTACTGGACTACTTCAACGACTTACCAATAGTGGTCGATCGAAAGCACGCCCTTGATCCGAGGATACTTCAGTGAGCTTTCCCTCAAGTGAGCCCACAGGTCAATTCAGGCTTTAGAAGTGTATTTCCTCAAGATTCATTCAACATAAGCTTCTTTTTAGGCATTCGACTACAACTACATTATAGTGGCTATTGGTTCCAGGTGTGTCTTACTGCTTACTGCAAAATGCATCGGTTAGACATAGAATGCACATGAACAGAAAGCCGAATAATTCACCGTGTACAAGCAGGTTTTAAGAGTCAAGTCTGTTTCATTTTGTCTGCTGATTGTTGAGTTGAACAAACACTACATCGTACCAGTTTATCTTATGGCAGTAAATACCTGTCTATAACACCGCATTTTCATTGTGGAATATCGTTCATAGCCCACTAATGACCGAAAAGTGTTGAGTTAGCCCTCCTCCAGTAATGTGATCCAAGGCTACAGATGATCTGGAGTCCAATTTAACAGTAATCTAAACCAACCAACTACACAGACCATGATGTTGAACCGTTCAGATAAGTTCAGGCTGATCGAAACGCTCGATTTGTTTTGGCCTATACTTCGTATTCGCAAGGTCATTTTACTACTCACGAGTGATCCGACAGTTGTTAGGTTCTCTTTGAGGATTATGCGAACCAGCAGTAATAATCTTGTCAGGAATTGAAAAGAGCATGTTCAAAAAATCTGCAACTGCTTGAGAGCACTCGGACGTCGTATGTTAGGTGTGAATAGTCCGTCGGG